AGTATAGTATAGTATAGTATAGTATAGTATAGTGTAGTATAGTATAGTGTTACGTCCGCCAGGCCCGTTTGGAGGGGGAAAGAAGACCACGCAAGGATTTGCTTACTTGAACAAAATATTAATTTATTGAATTATACTATCGCATTCTTGGCACAAAGTCGAGCTTGTTTTCAGTGTGTGTTGGACTCCGCCAGGGCTGTCCCTTGTCTCCGATCCTGTTTGTAGTGTTTATGGACAGGATCTCAAGGCACAGTTGTGGAGAGGAGGGTGTCTGGTTTGGGAACCACAGGGTCTTGTCTCTGCTGTATGCAGATGATGTGGTTCTGTTGGCGTCTTCAGTGATGAACGGAGATGTTTCAGCGTGCTCTGCTTTTTTATTTTTTTCAAACTGTGCGTAACAGGTGTGATTCTTCACAGATACAGCAGAGGGCAGTATAACAGTTTCTCTATTGTACAAATTACTGCTTCATATTTCAATATTCAGTCCAAGACCTTCAGCATGCACTGGGGTGGTTCACAGCCGAGTGTGAAGCAGCTGGGATGAAAGTCAGTTCCTCTAAGCCTGAGGTCATGGTTCTCGACCGGAAAAGGGTAGAATGCCCCCTCCGGGTCGGGGGAGAGTCTCTTCCTCAGGTGGAGGAGTTTAAGTATCTGGGTGCCTTGTTCACGAGTGATAGTAGGATGGAGCGCGAGATGGATTGACGGATTGGGGCCTTGTCCTCAGTAATGAGGGCGTTGCTTCAGTCAGTCGTGGTGAAGAAAGAGCTGAGTCAAAAGACAAAGCTCTCGATTTACTGGTCTGTCTTCGTTCCAACCCTCACCTTTGGTCATGATGCATGGATCATGAATGAAAGAACAAGATCCCGGACACAAGTGGCCGAAATGAGTTTCCTTCGTAGGGTGGCCAGGCTCAGCCTTAGAGATAGGGTGAGGAGCTCAGTCATCCGAGGGGAGCTCGGAGTAGAGCTGCTGCTCCTCCACATTGAAAGGAATCAGTTGAGGTGGTTCGGGCATCTTATTAGGATGCCTCCTGGGCGCCTCCCTTTAGAGGTGCTCCAGGCACTTCCCACTGGGAGGAGGCCCCTGGGAAGACCCAGGGCTCACTGGAGGGTCACTGTATCCTCTCTGGCCTGGGAACGTCTCAGGTGCCCCAGGACGAGCTGAAAAGTGTTGCTGGGGAGAGGGATGTCTGGATTTCTCTCCTGAACCTGTTGCCTCCGTGACCCGACTACGGATAGGTGGAAGAAGATGGAGATGGAGATGAATTATACTAAATAAATACCTGAAATGAGGTTAATCCAAAACTAGTATGAATAATAAAAATAACCAAAGCAAACCAAACCAAGTGAGGATCAGGAGAGAGATGTGCTGTGCTGTATGTGTGACAGCTTTTAAGCCAACCAACAGCATCTGCAGCTGCACCTCTAAACCATGCAAGAAAAAGACAGCAGAGAAGCTATAGATGCTGAAACAATAGTATAGTATAGTATAGTATAGTATAGTATAGTATAGTATAGTATAGAAGGACGACAGTGTGAAACATGTAACTGAACAATTTTAACTTTTGTCTGTCAGTATTTTTATTGGCACATTTGTACATTGGATCCTGGTCCTGTTGTTTTTGTATTTGTGAGTTTTCTTTCAGAAACATAAATCTGGAATCTACTGGTACACTAGGATTTTTGTAACTCACAGACCTGGACTAAAAGTTGTTTACAGATCTCTAGAGAGGGACAGGAAGTTTTGGTTTCAGCAGACTGTTAAACACAAGTTAAAATGGTTGTTGTTATTATTTTAGGCTTTAATTAGTCATCCTAACTTGTTTCTGATTTTAAAAAAATCAATGAAGTTAAGTCTTCTGACACTTTTGTAAAACAAGAGTTAATTTAATAAAGTATTTGAGGTGAAGCTGCTTTAAGGGTCGTATTTCCTTAATTCCTGGAACAAACGTCAGAGCAATTTAGATTCTTCTGAATTTAAAGACTTGTGATTTCCTTTTCTGAGACTCTGGGCCACTCCTGTCAGACTAAATGAGCTGACTGTGTCTGTATGTAGAGCAGCTAGGGTTTAAAACTATTTGCTGAAGAGTTTCCTTCTGCTGCTGTTTCTGATATGCTAATACGCTAATTTTCTCTGACAGTAAATCTGACAAACAGTAACTGAAAAATTCAAGAAGCTCCAAACAAACAAAATGATCAGATCTAAGCTGAAAATTCACAAACAGTTTCAGGGTTTTTATTGAGAGAAAGTTTTACAGCTAAATGTTTGTGTTGCTACAGAGGTGAAGAGCTACGAGCCGGTGTTTGGCTCAAAGGTTTGTGAGCAACCTTGTGTGGACAGCATGAGAGACCTGGTCCTGAGGGACCGAGGACGACCAGACATCCCCCCAACATGGACACATCACCAGGTCAGAGACAACCTGAAATAACAACCAGAGAAAATGGCTCAGTTCTTTTACAGGACACAAATATTAACAATCCTTCAAAAACACAAAAGTGGTCTGAACGAGACAACACGAAGTTAGTGTGTAAAAGAGACAAAGTTTTTTTCTTCTTTAAAAAGAAAATGTGAGCATTTGAGTCAGTCAGATGTTGTCATTCTTGTATAAAGCTGAACTTAACACAATTCTAACTCCTTTACGTGTCCAGGGGATGAGCGTCTTCTGCTCCACTATCACAGAGTGCTGGGACCACGACCCGGAGGCCCGGCTGACCGCCCACTGTGTGGTGGAACGCTTCACTGCGCTGCAGCAGGAGGGCAAGGAAGAGGAGGCAGAAGTTGAAGGCGCGGAGGAGAGAGAAAGACAGGCATAAGAAGGCAGGAACGAATGAAGACAGAGAAAAGGACTAAATTTGGAGGCTCCTAATAACCACTTGTTCTTTTCAAAACTCTCCTCCTCTTCCTCAATTGAAGGTTAAAGAGACATGACAGAGATATCCCACGATGCTGTGTTTCATCTGAATTTTTTTCTACAACAGTCATTTAATAGGTGCTAATAGGAGATAAGTTGGCAACTAAAGAGTTAAAGGTAATCAGGGCTGGACTGGGACCAAAAAACGGCCTGGCCATTTTTTGGTCATGGCGGCCCACCATCATTATTTATACAATATACGAATAGACACTACATACCAGAGGATGTGTTTGCATGTTGTGTTGTTTCACAAGTTAAAGTGCAGCAGCCTACAAGGAAGAGAATAACCATGTTTTAAAAAAACTGATGAGCTCTTCCACTCAGAGACTTTAATGTTCATGAGGTTCTGATGCTCAGTCAGTGGATCACCAGAGAGACTACTGTAGAGAACAGATCAGACAACTGCTAAACTTAAAGTTTTCAGAGTCACAAATGAAACTATATAACTAAAACTTCCACCTTCCTAAAAGTCAAATGTAGAGCTCTGATTCACATCTAAAGGTTTCATTTTTAAATTTAATATACTACAGTGTTTATTTAGGGATGTATAGCCTATTTAATTTAACATTTAGTATAATAAACATAACCCAGCATGTATTCTAATTTCAGGTCAAATTATTTCATTTGACCCAAACCGATTTATTTATTTCTTATATTTCAACATAAGAAATATAAAAATCTGCTGTAAAACATGAACACACTCACAGACCAACTTTTATCACATTTTATCTTAAGAAGCTGCAGTTATGTTTCAGTAGTGCTGAGAGATTTCACTGGATTAGCTCCATGTCGTTCAAGAAAATCAACCAATGGGCCATCGCGGTCGACAAAAAGTTAGTTATAATTTTTTTTTTTGGTTCATGACGGGACTGCTCGGCCCAAAATCACCACGGCCCACCGGGCACCAGTGCTCGATGGCCAGTCCAGCACTGAAGGTAATGTATGTGTTTTTGACTGATATCAAAGTAAAACTCTTCAGAGGTAAAGCAAAAATACTGAAGAGAAACCCCATCTGTGCTCTTATGACCAGTATTTTGTGTGTACCATTTAAAAAACAAAGACATGATTGTTGTGAGTTAATTTTTTAGGCCGAAGGCAGAAAACCAAACCTAACACAACTCATTCTGAAAAGAGCAACTTTAAAAACATGAAAATATAAATCAGGTCATTGCTCTTTACTAACTCCATAAACAAAGTTCACCCAGGGTGGAGAATACATCTCTGATTGGATTTTACTGAAAACATAAATCTGTTGTGTGGTCCTTGCCTGGAGCTTTAAATGAAGTCTGCCCCNCACACACACACACACACAAACACACATTTGGCCCACACCCATCTAAACTGGAACCACTGAAACTGGACCTTCAAACCAACCTCATGTTTAATCATTTGTTTCTCTTTAATGATACATTTAAGTGCCTAACTTTAAAAGACTTTTTCCTTCACAGAAAAGCAAAGACAAAACTCCACAGTTCAGTCATTGGTACCAAATAAAGACGTGATAATTTCAGCTGTAACTCTTCAAAGATCTGCTGGCAGACACACTTTGATGCATGAAAACAGTTTAATTTGTTGGAGCTGGTTTCCATTTTGTTGTGATACTATTCTTTAATGATGACTTATTACATTTGCTATAACCACCGTGCACAAATAAAGAGGAGAGTGATCTTTATCTGATGATGTGGAAGATAATTGTGTCTGTGTAAAATCTACTGTATAGGAGGCTGTTTGGGACAGAAATTATTCTTTCTTTCACATATTATACTATAATATTTGGCAGCACAATGGCTCTGCCTCACAGCAAGAAGGTCCTAGGTTCAGTTCCCAGTTAGGACCTGTGGTCTTTCTGTGCGGAGTTTGCATGTTCTCCTCGTGCTTGCATGGGTATTCTGGCTTCCCCCACACCCCAAAAATATTTATAACTGGATGCCTCCCTTGCAATTTTCCTGTTTAAATAATGGCAAAAAAGTGTTAGTCTCATACAGTATATCTATTATGATCAGACCCAAATGACAGTAAAAGTTATCTAAAAAGCCAGGAGAATCATTGCGATCCTCCATCCTGAGCAGCACATTGGTGATAGTGGAAAGAAATGACTTCATTCTAACAGGAGGAACCCTCCAACAGAACCAGAACTGGGCTCAGGATGAGCTGTCATCGGCTACGACGAGCTGAGGTTTGAGAAGAAAGAGAAGGACTGGATTACTTCTTTGTCTCGGTTTTGAACTTTTTTCAGTAGAAATCTTCTGATGTGCTCCATGAGAAGGATCTGATAAAACAGCTCATACAGTTTGCACACAAATACAGTAAACTATGTATTAGTCAAGAATTCAAGGAGATCCAGAATTCCCTGGAGAGATTATATATCTTCTCTGGCCTGGGAATACCTCAGGGTCCCCCTGGTAGAGCTGTAGTTTGTCACTAGATATTTTTCTCCTGAACCTGTTGTCTCTGCGACCCATCTACAGTTGATATAAACATTGCTGGTATATTTTCTCACTTTATGATTTTTCTTTTGACCGGTCTTCATGTCATTACAACAAGTACCTTTAACCTCATCAACAGCTGTATCCCATGACTTTTTGTATAGCCCACCTACCAATAAGTTGATAGTTTTGTAATTTAGAATTTCCTCCACAAAATTGAGCAGTATAATTTCGATGCTCCTCAAACTGAGCAGCAGCGCCCTCTGCTGTTGACAAAGAGAAGTGAAAATGCTCATAGCCATCTTAATTAGAGACGATCTTTGTTGCTCTGTTTTGCTTCCCTGTGCTGAGTACAGGCTGTATAGTTTAATGCTGCTGATCAAGTACTATATAAAAAGATCTTATTGTGCATATTTTATATTATTATAGATATTCTACAGTATGTCTGTGGAGCTGACCCCCAACATTTTTTGTGCGAGCGAGTTATCCATCTTTCTTAGAGACAATCTTTGGAGCCCCGGTTTTCTCAGCTGACACGGAGCTACAACCCCCAGCTGCAGCTATCAGCCAAAGCCTCTCACCGGCCGGTGGCGGCTTCTCCCTACATTTATAGCACCAAGTCGCTTTTGCAGGATGGTAACAAGTTCTGGTTCACCTCACAAGAGATGAATGAAACGAGCGCAGTGGGGACCGGACCGAGACCGGCGGAGGTTGTGTTAACTTTGGGCTACCGAGCCCGGTTCGCTGGGCAGGTCGTAGGATGGAGCCAAGGCTGAACGGGGATGTAAAGCCTTCCCTGTCCTGGTTTCTCCTCGGTGTTGCCCTCCTCTCACTCCTAGCCCGATCTGGGAGCTGTCACGGTGCCTGCAAACACAGAGTCCCCGCTCCGGACCAGGTGAGTCTCGACGATGGTCACAAAAAATAAACCTAATGATTTGACTCGAGTCCTGCAGCTAACAGCTTATAGCGCGCTAGCTACGTCAGCTAGTTATAATGTACTTTATAGTGTGAAACAAAACATCACGGCTAATCCGTTTTGTACAAATAATGTTTCTTGTCAGCTCAGCCTAGTAATCTGTCATAAGTGTTGTTTGTGTGAGAACAACATTTATCATACTATAAACTACCAAATAGCTTTAGTACAAGTTATTACTTTGAATAAAAGCTAACAAGCTAACACGAACACAGACTGTTTCTCCCATTTGATAAGCATCATGTGTTATTTATTGGTTTTACCCCATTAAAGCCACAACTAATCAGTTTTCTGTTCCTGTTCCCCTAGCAACAGCTAAAATAACATTTCCGGGTTAGGGTTTTTCCCAATAAAAGGTCGATATATACCTTTGAAAACCCAAATATCAAACCAAAAAGAATTTATTTCAGAATTTAATGACATTTACACTATAAATTTAGATAACCAGTTTCTGTGATCGTGGTACAAGTAAATGTCATAATACAAAAATCTCTTCGTAATAAAAGCGGCATCTTCAAAACTTGACACTAAAAATCAACACATCTCCAAAATTAAATAATTTATATTTATTATATGTCACCAGTGCATACTTCCCTGTTTACCTACTTAAATTCAAAGGCTTTATTATGCTTTAGTTTAAACCTTTTATGTTTTGTCCTTAGAAGAAGGGTTGGGCAATATTGGCAAAAAACAACAACGATTAATTGTGGTGTTTAGCCGATGATAATTAATATTTCTTAAGTGTTTTTGCACTTTCAGGCCAACATAGTAAATAAACTGTTCTGGTGAAATAAAGGTTTAAAAAATATGATGATTAATATAATTAATAATTATATTATATTAATAATTATAATATATTTGACTTCCGGTTGAGTGAATGCTGGTGCGTTTTGCTGCCGCTGATCATCAGCAAACTTTTGACTTTTAATTGCTCTTATCGTAGTTTTTAACCGCCTTGTGATCGTCAACTGATTCTTTTATGAACAAAAAACATTTTCTGCCTTCAATCCAGTTTTTAACCACTCTGTGATTGTGTGCTATCAAGTCACATTGGCTTACCTGTCAAACGCCAACAGGCTTCAAACCCTCTGCTGACTCATCCGCCTCAAAATGTAGACCAGTCAATTTTACATCTGGTATTTTATTTTTGATCAAGGTCTTTTTATTAAAATTTTTTTTACAAACCACAAAAAAGAACAGACTTACAAAAACGCAAAACAAAACACACACACCCAAAATCCCTCCCATCCCTCTCCTCCTATAACGGATCCACTGAAATAACAAAAAAAGATCTTGTATTCATCAAATGATACAATGAGTAGGTTTGTGTGTAATGAAACAATTTTTAACCTTTACACAAAACTATCTGCCGAAATTTTTTCTACATAAGATATAAATGGCTGCCAAATGTCAAAAAATTTGTTTACAGATCCCCTAACAGTATATCTAATCTTCTCTAAATGAACGTAAGACATAACTTCTCTTAACCAATGACCATATACTGGAGGATGTGGATCCTTCCAWCGAAGAAGAATAAGTCTTCTAGCCAGTAGAGAGCAGAAAGCTAACACCGTCCTCTGATGTTCACTGAAGGAAGCCTCTGCTGGAGCCACCCCAAAAAGAGAGATGAATGGTGATGGATGAACAGTTCGTCCATATAGTCCTGAAAAGGTATCAAAGATGCCTTGCCAGTATCCATGTAGCTTTGGACAGGACCAGAATGTGTGTAGAAGTGTGGCAGGTGATTGTTTACAACGATCACACGTCGGATCCAAGTCCCTTTTGAATTTGCACAATCTGTCCTTAGACCAGTGTAGACGATGTACTCCCTTAAATTGAACTATAACATGTTTCACACATATTGAGGACGAATATATATTTTGAATAATTTTTTGCCAAACTGAGTCTGATATGGATTCCTCCAAGTCCATCTCCCACTTACCTTCAAAGAATCTAAATTGGAGTCAGAAAATGAGCTGAGCAGAGAATAAACTCTGCTCATAGAGCGTTTTGTTACAGACTTACACATCAGAATCTCATCTATAAGAGAAGTTGGCGGGCGTAGAGGAAAACATCCAGAGTTTGACATTATAAAATGTCTCAATTGTAAATACCTGAAGAACTGTGACTTATGGATGTTAAATTTCTGTGGTAACTGTTCAAATGAGGCGAACTTATTGTCTATATAAAGATCATTTAGAGAAGTTATTCCCTTTAAACCCCAGGTATTGAAAACAGAGTCCATTAGTGAAGGAGCAAACATACAGTATGGTTATTTGACACTGGAGCAGACAATAATAATTCTGTACTTTTAAGCAACCTCCTGCACTGATTCCAGATTTTTATTGTGTGAGTTACKACCGGATTAGAAGTATAAGTTGAGATGGGCTGATTAAACGGTAACAGGGAGCAAAGTAAAGCAGAGAGAGAGCTCGCCGTTACTGATTCCTCTCTAGAATTACCCAAGTAGGAACAGGATTGTCGTCTCTCAACCAGTACAGTAAGGCTCTAATGTTGGCCGCCCAGTAGTAATATAAAAAGATGGGGAGTGACAAGCCACCAAGACCATAGGGTAACTGTAACATCTTACTGGCTATCCGTGGATGCTTTTTATTCCAAATAAAGGACGACAATTCACTATTTAATTTTGTAAAGAAAGTCCTGGGGTCTCATTTATAAAGGATTGCGTGGAAACCATACTAAAAGTGAACGTACGGCCAAAAGGCGGAAATGGCGTACGCCAAAAAAATTTCAGATTTATAAAACAGTGCGTACGCACGTTTCTGCGCATCTTTCCTTTATAAATCACAGCCGCACGTCAGAGTTTGTGCACGAGGTCCCGCCTCAGGGTCTACCCTCTACACGCCCACATTCAACCGTAAACAGTCAATGTAAAGTACCTCATGAATGTTAAGGTGTATTTAAATCAGTCAGCTGATCAATGCCAACAAAAGTGATTGGTTCAGAACGCTCCGTCGTGCGTCTGGAGGTTGACAGGTGCTGACTGACAACTGTTCACGTGAACAGAATGTCTGTAATTTACACAGATTTTCCCTCATTTTGCTTTAGAGTAATCTAATGATTTTTATAAAAATAAAAAACCTCAGCTTCAAATCTATTTCCCATTAGAGCCTGCAGGACGATAAAAAAATAAAAATTAAGTTAAATAAGTCAGATAAAATTAGAAATAAGTCCACTACTCTTCTCCTCGTCCTCTCCCCCTCCTGCCTGCTCTGTTATCCGCGGCAGACACCCACCCCCGCGCACGCACGCACGCACCCCCCCACGCGCGCGCGTGACAAACACGGACTTTAAACGTGAAGGTTTATTATTCACACTGG